GACAGTTCAAAGAGGTTCAAAAAAAAAAAAAAAAGATTTAAAATCCTCCCAACACATTCGCAATGATAACAGGTCTACAAAACTTGTAGGATGCTGATTTCTAATTGGCTTCACATATCCTTGGATTATGTTAACAGTACACCTAGAGTACTCCTCCCCGTACATATATACCTTAAAGAATATGAAACCCTAATTCATTATGAGATCTCTTGGGCTTTATATAGGCCCCTACAAAACTTACAATTAAGTCTCTAATAATACTAATATGTCAACACTCCTCCTCAAGATGGGCGAAAGATATCTATTAAGCCCATCTTGTCACATCCTCTAATCATATCTACTGAGCTGAGTCCTTTAGTCAGACAATCTGCTGCCTGGTCCTTAGTCGAAACATGACTTAGCTCCAGTAGTCCACTATCCAACTTCTCTTTGATGAAGAACCTATCGATCTCGATGTGTTTGGTTCTATCATGCTGCACTGGGTTGTTGGCAATACTGATCGCTGACTTGTTGTCACACCATAACTTCATCTTAGCTCCTTGATCCAGCTTCAGCTCCACCAGCATACTCTTCAACCATAGCAACTCAGCAACTCCTAAGGCCATAGCTCTATACTCTGCCTCAGCTGTCGATCTCGCCACCATTGACTGCTTCTTGCTCTTCCACGAGACTAAGTTACCTCCTATAAAGATGCAGTATCCTGAGGTGGACCTCCTGTCATCAGCACAGCTAGCCCAGTCAGAGTCGCAATAACCCTCGATGTTCACATGTCCATTCTTTCTGAATATCAGCCCCTTTCCGGGGGCACTCTTTAAATATCTCAGAATCTGGTACACAGCGTCCATATGACCCTTCCTCGGATCGTGCATGTAGCGACTCACCACGCTTACTGCAAAAGAGATATCAGGACGTGTGTGACTCAAATAGATCAGCCTTCCCACCAACCTCTGATATCTGTCACGATCAACTGGTTCTCCAGCCTCAGCACCTAGCTTGAACCTCTGGTCGATCGGTGTAGTTGCAGGTTTGCACCCTAACATTCCTGTCTCTTTGAGAAGATCCAGTGCATACTTTCTCTGGGATAGGACGATCCCCTCCGCTCCTCGAGCTATCTCTATTCCAAGAAAGTATCTAAGCAAGCCAAGATCTTTCACCTCAAATTCCTTACCCAGTCTCACTTTGAGTTGGGCAATCTCCTTCTCATCATCCCCTGTAATAATCATATCATCCACATATACCGCAAGCATAGTAATGTGGCCTCCACTCCGTCGAAAGAACACTGTATGGTCGGCGTTGATCTGTTGGTATCCCATACCAATCATAGCCCTTCTGAATCTGTCGAACCAAGCACGGGGAGATTGCTTCAGACCATAGAGAGACTTCTTCAATCTGCAGACCTTTCCCACTGTCTGATCTGTACCAAATCCTGGTGGTATCTCCATGTATACCTCCTCCACTAGATCTCCATGAAGAAATGCATTCTTCACATCTAGTTGGTGTAGCTTCCATCCACCATTTACTGCCAGAGAGATTAAGGTCCGAACAGTGCTCATCTTCGCCACCGGTGCAAAAGTCTCATCATAATCGATGCCATATGTCTGACTATACCCTTTTGCCACCAGGCGAGCCTTGTAGCGCTCAACTTGTCCATCTGGATTCTGCTTCACAGTGAAGACCCACTTGCATCCAACTGCTCTCTTTCCTTCTGGTAACTTTACTAGCTCCCAAGTGCGGTTCTTCTCTAGAGCTCCTAGCTCCTCGTGCATAGCCGCTTTCCATTTTGGGTCCTTCTTAGCAACCTGCCAATTGTTAGGTACAGTAACAGAGTCCAATGATGCAATGAATGCTCCATATGCAGGGTGGATACTAGAATATGATACATACTGGGCAAGATCCCAACCATATCTATCGGGAGGATGTCCCGCATTACTGCGAGTAGTCCTCCGTACTGATATTGGTGTGGGAGGAGTAGGGAGAGGAATGTTATCAGTAGGAATGTTATCACCTTGGGATGAAATTGGTGGTGGTGTAGGTATTTCAGGAGTCGGGGTGGGCTTTGGCAAGGGGGTGGTAAAGGGTGGAGGCGGCTAGGGTTTTTGTGGGGGCTCTGATACCAAAAAGAATATGAAACCCTAATTCATTATGAGATCTCTTGGGCTTTATATAGGCCCCTACAAAACTTACAATTAAGTCCCTAATAATACTAATATGTCAACATACCTCCTGAAAATTAAGATGGAAAACAGATTTGACCTTAATCAGCACGTGCATACAGTATTAAAAGGGGGTAAAAAAAACTTGGACGCTGTTTGGTTCGCTAAATGGCGACAGTCGAAATTTCCAAAAGCCACTACGGTTGCAGTTGCTTGATGAATAATTAACTAATTATTGATCATCGTGTAACCAAATGAAGGTTCGACTATCTGAGAGGAAGGCTACCTTCATTGCATAAACTAATTATTTTCTCTAGAGTTTTGCTCAATTTTCTCCTCCTCTCTGATTCTCCCAATTAATGCCTTGTTTTATTTCTTCTAGTTTTCCTTTCATAACCATGCGTAGCTAATTTAGCTCAGATTGCTTAGAATGATGAAGCTAGAATAATTACTTTTGTGTTTAGATTTTTAATTCTTGCGCTTAATTAATTTATGTTGTAATTAATTTAGGTTATTAATAATAGATAGAATAATTAGGCTAAAAGCATTAATGACTATGACTTAGCTTATTTTTAGTTGACTAGGATTTATGCACGTGCAATGCACGTGATTAAATGTTATGATTAAGTATTTCTGACTTATTTCTTTACCAAAATTTGTTTCTCAGTTCCACTTTGATTGTTTTTCTCACTTATGTTTTCAAACTTTACTATTGTGATTATTTATTTATTTTAATGTTTGTTTGAATGGACTACATCAAATTTAAAATTTTCATGTAATAATTGAATTGACAATAAATAACTATAATCTAAAGCGAATTTGAATTTTCACGTTATTTAGATTGGCATGAAACCAAGCTTGACTTAAGAAGGTATAATGTTATAAAAATAAAAAACACTTGAAAAGATAATGTTATAAAAGAAGGATGAATAATTAAAGCCGATAAGACAATATGATAAACTAAAAATAGGCTAGAATAAAACTAATGAGAATATAAATTTTGTTGCTAATCACTAATAGACTTTAGAAAAAATCATAAAATAAATATTAATGCTAACTCTAGTACACTTTTATATGATAAAAGCATCCACATAACCATATAAAAAATTAAAAGAGTTCATGAAAATCACTTTTATGATAAAAGCATCCACATAACCATATAAAAAATTAAAAGAGTTCATGAAAATCACTTTTAAAGATTCCTGATTTTACTCAAAAAATTAAGCAATTTTTAAAAATAAAAATAATTTAAATTTGTGTTGTATTTATAAAGAATATTGATGGAGATGTTTTTGTTTTAGCAACTTGTTCTGAATGAGCCATGCATATTAGATTTAAAGTGTAATATTTTTTCTTTATTGTGCTGTATGGATGTAATTTGTTTGGTTTGCTTATCTATCTCTTATTTTTTTAATAAGTTGATATATTATTAACACAATTTACGATGACATACATATCTTTTATATAAATTTGAGACATGTATAAGATGAATTTTATATTTAATGACCTTTAATAAGAATTTTAGTTGTAAAATATGTTACCTTCATATTTAAATATCTTAAAATTTGACAGTACTATTACATGCTTATCTTTGACCGTGTTCTTAAAAATTGATCTTTCGTTGGTAGTCATATCCCCAAATAAGGATACTTGCAGAGTCGTGCCACTATTTAGAGAAAAAATATTAATTTTATTTTTTTACTTACACTATGGTAACTAAGTATCATGTGCATATTTTTTGCCCATTATAATGATTTTCCTCATCTTATCTAGTTTATTATATCTCGCAATGTAGTTGATCAATGGCTTCACTTTAGCTTCTATTGCAAGATTATTTATATAAAAATTTATATTAAATTTATAATTCCTTCAGTATTTTTAGAATAAAGTATGAAAATTTATAAGTACTTCTAATTTTTCTTGTAATTTTCATGAATAACATTTTTTTAATTAGGACATAATTTTTCAATATGTTCTTCAATGAGAACTCGGTTAGTGCTTCTTTGCTCGATATGCTTTTTATCAATGTTAATTCAGGTGATTCATGAATGTTTCTGAATTTTGAGTTAATTTTCTTCACTTCTCCATTTGAAATAAAAAAAACTTAGTTCTTTTAAATGATATCTCTGAACTTTCTGATAGTTTCTCTATACATAACTCCTTATATATATTTTTTTACTTTATAAATAAATATTATCAACATTAGAGATAAATGTTTATACATTATAATCAATTAATGCTAGTATAGTATATCTTAATGTAATAATATCAAATATTTTCTCTTTTCTTTGCCAAATTTCAGTTTTTTTGTGATTTAAACTTTTGAAGGTGTGTTTTACAATTTTTAAACTTTGATAGTATTTTATAAAAATTTTAAATTTTAAGTTGGACGTTTATAATTTTCATGTTTCATGTATTAGTGATAAGTTTTTAAATATTAGAATATTTCTCGTAACTCTAAATATTTGAAGGTGTTTTTATAATTACTAATATTTTGGGTTGTTTTTTAAAAAAAAATTTAAATTTTTAGTAATCTGCTTATAATTTCTAAATTTGATGTGTACCAGTTATAAGTTTTAAAATTTTAGAAATTTTTAATATTTTTTTGATTTTGAGAGAGCTTTTGTAATTTTTGTAACTTTGAGGTTATTTTTTTACTAATTTTAAATTTCTATGTGTCTAATGATAATCCATGGAATCCATTCTAAGCAATCTACGCTGAATTAGCTACGCACGCATAATTATCAAAGACATTGAAAGAATTAAAGAGAAGAAAAAACTCTCATTATTAATTAGTTACTGCATAAGCATATCTCAAGCGAAAATACTAGAACGAAGATAGGGATAACTGTTAATTCATATGATTTAACTTCGCCTGAGCTCGTGATGACGTGGCACCCACTGGCTGACCACGTGCCACCTGGTGCGGATCAAACCGCCTCAACTTCCCAACTAACTCCCGGAGGAGTCCCACCTCGAGAGCACCCAGGCTCTCACCCGCTCACTGATTTAGGGCCCACCTAAAGCGAACCCCCTTACCATTTGACCTAATCATACGCTGACCTGTCCTACGTAAGCTCGCCAGGTGTTTAGGGCCCCTCGCCGACGAAGCCCCACCACATCAGATCACTGCAGACGTGTCGAGCTCCTATTCAACCGCGTGCGACACACGTGCCCAAGAGCTGCGTGCTTTATAAGAAACGGCGAGCTCTACCCCGCATCTCCCTTTACGTATAAAGAGGAGCCAACACCATTAAAACCCCCCCTAATTAAAACTCCATCACCACCAAAATTAAGTTAAAAGGGAGAATAAAAAAACGTTCTGCTTCTGATCTCGATCTCTCGATCTTGATCTCTCTCGTAGATTTGAGCATCGATGGACCTGAACTCGGGCCGGATCGATTTGGATTCTTCCAAGAAGCGGATGATCCACAATCAGGTGCTGAGAATCCGAGAAGAGGACCAACGGATCGGGGATCGGATCGGCGAGATCGCCACGTCAGAGATCCGAACTCCGATCGAGGGGTTCCTCTGCTCGCGGCCGATGCTTCCGTCTTCTCCCCTCGGCAATAAGTAATTTTCCTTTTTTTCTCCTTTTTTTTTAAAGGGAATTATGTGAATATCATTTTTTATTACGTTTTTTTGGGAATTATTACGTGAAAAGTTCGACACCTGGAAATCGTACTGGCATTCCGTTATGAAAATCGAGTTACTGTTCGTACCCCTAATATTTCTAGAATTGTACGCCATCCTAGTGGCAGAAGTGTCTTTTCAAAGTTACTTTCTCTTTCGGGAGTTACGCTTGTGCGTTTTTATTAACTGTTCAAGTACTTCTCACGTGCAGATGCGCGCGGTGCTATCAGTGACGGAGGCAGCAGGGCCCCGGTCTCTGCACGGTCGACACGTGTAGGGGCGTTTTAGGAAAGTTATATTTGAGAGGGTTGTATTTGAAATATGCAAGTGATGTGGTCCCCCGCAGACAAACACACCATGTACAGCTTGCCATTGTGTACATAAATAGTCAGTTTCTCTTGGTAAGAAACATCCTCAGCCGAGGGGCACTTTAGGCATTATATTCATACTCATCTTTCTTTCATTTTTTTTTTTTTTGATTTTAACCCGTGACCGCGAGAGAAAACGCGAACGCCGATCAAACGCCTCGGCGGCCCACACGCGCTCCATACTTGAGTCCCGCGGACAGCGACAATCCGCGCGCTGCGGTGCTCTGGCGGAGCAACGCGACCCGCGTTCACGCGACGAGACAAGAGACGATAACAAAATCAATAAAAATCGTAACACACAAGCGATACTTTTTTATTTTTATTTTTTATTTTCTGAAGGGCTGCTGTAGAAAACAGTAGTTCTCGTGGTTGCTCGGTCGTCATAGAGAAAACAAACTCGAGCCATGACCCTAAGCAGTCAAAAATTGTACATTAACAGGAAAAAAGAGAAAAAGCTAGGACTGGCGTCCAGCCCAAAATATATAGTTGTATCAGGAGAGCTAATTAACTAATTAATTAATATGTAGTCGCACACGCAGAAGAACTGGATATATAGCTAGTGGGGGGGGGTGGGCGTTATTAACCAATAATTTGAGACCCCGGCCCGGCCTAACTTGACCTGAGCAGGCTCCGGACGATCTCGGCCTGCGCGCTTCCGTTGTCCATTGTCGACATGAGATCCGACAACCGGTCGCTCAGGTCGTCGACCTCCTGGTGCAGGCTCTGGATGTACTTGCACGTCTCCTTCAGCAATTTCGACGCCGAAGCCTGCAGCAATAATTAACGCACGCGAATGCGTACGTTGGGGTCAGGCCGGTCGACAGGAATCTAGCACGGTCGGCCGGAGTAGGTACGAGGAGGAGGAGGGAGAAATTAGCTTACCCTGCCTGAGCCCCGACGGCGGGTCTCCGGGAGGAGAGACTGCAGCTTGGAGATGAGCTCATTGATCTCCTCCTCCGAGATTCCGCTCCTCCGGCTCGACATTACGTACGTACGTTTGTAGATCGACGATCGAAGAGCAAGAAGATGCTGGAAATGCTATATATCCAGTAGATATATATTTTATATATGTATATATATATATAGGGGGAGAAATAAGAGAGAGAGAGGTGGGGGAGAGAGTGAGAGAGGCAGAGTGGGGAGAGGGAGGGAGGGATTTATAGAGGGATTGGGGGGAGAAAGAGTTTAGGGTGGGGGGGTTCATTAGACGGGCGCAAATCTAGAGGAGGAACACATAAATTAAGAAAGATTGGAGGCCTACTTGTCCCCTTTCACCCGATGGCGTAGTAGGGTTTTGTATGGGCGTACGTGCGGGCCCCTTTCCATGCTATTTGAGTGGAAAGCCCATGGGCCGAGGGTACTGCTGGATACTGCACCCAAAGGCCCCTCTTATCGTACCCTTCTTGCCACGTGTCATCCAAGGGGTGTTTTGCGATAGCCCCCCTTAAACTTGTTTTTGATTCCCCCCTGCCCCCCCGCTATTTGGCTCTCACCTGACCTCGGCTTTTTAACTTACTAGGCAAGTATCCTTGTTGCGTCTTATTTTTTGCTTGAATTGTTGAGCGAAAAATGCGGTCTCTGTT